CTGTCTCAGAATGTTAAATATTCAACTTTGACGTTTTAATAGCAGGTTAAAGGCGTTAAAAGAATCTGTAACCTTCCAAGGATCATTTAGTTGTGCATTCTGACATGTGGTATATTTTAGTACTCAATGATCCCGCTGAGAGGTCCAAGAACTTTCACAGCGATTCAAGGTCATGTGATTATTTTAATCAAGGTGATGAATAAAAAATTTTCTTTCTCCACCGCGGGTCACTTTAAATTCATTCCAATCCCACTCCTATTTTTAATTYCTCATCAGGGCCCGGTTGTACAAAGCCTGGATAGCGCTATCCAGCAGTGGATCAATTTATTGGATATTATAAAACAACTGTTATAAATCTGGGGTTTAGATTGGTTGGGAGCACGTGCTTTATGAGAGCACACAGCACGCATGCACACTTTCAGTTGCGTCATTCCTATCTAAAATCAGTGATTTTTACCCATATTCCTTTCGGTCCAGTCGCGTAGGCTTGAGCCGGTCGACGACAACGTTTTTTTGAATTGACTGTATACCACATGTCAGAATACACAACTAAATGATCCTTGGAAGGTTACAGATTCTTTTAACGCCTTTAACCTGCTATATTAAAACGTCAAAGTTGAACATTTAACATTCCCAGACAGTGAGGTATTACCTGAGTTGGATACGTATTGACCAAAAACAAAAAACCGTCAAGTAAAAAAGCAAACAGTGATAGAAAAGCAAGTCATATTCCGATTATTAATTCTTGGAAGAGGCATATTTTCTGACTATCGCACAAATAGTTTTATTTTCCGAACCAACCTGCTGCGACTGAGATGAAATATTTTTTTGTTTCTTTGATTTTGTGTCTTTTTCTGGTGGTTTCAAATGGCTCTAGATGGTTGAAGAATAACGGTGAGACGCACGCAGTTTTTATTTTTAAAAAAGCTTTCATATATATTGTTAAAATTATTAAATTAAAGTTTCTTCAACCAAAATTACTGATTTTGATATTACCAATCGTAGCTTTCAGTAATTTTGGTT